GCCATAAAGTGTCCTGCTAAAAGTCTGTTTTTTTTATTTTTACAGGAAAAGATGAGATTAGGTACAATGGTGCAAAAGCTACATAAATTCTAAATGTTTTTAGAGGGGAGATTGGGTCAAACACAAATGGAGATGATAAACTAAATGTCCTCACTGATAAATTCCAGTCAAGAATGGGGGGAAAAAGATCCCAAAATGTCAATTTTTATGCAAGAATGCTTGATGTGTTTACTCCCAGAACAAACTGAAATCAAACCCACAGAAAATGTTTGACGACTAAATGTGGTGGACTTTGTTCCACTATCACTTGACCTTAATTATTCTGAGAATTTAAGACAAAATATCCACCCCCAACCGTGCAGCAATGATATCAGTTTCATAAAAACTAAAGTATTTACAGTTTAGTTATTTTTATAGGTCTAAGTCCTGGGGTTGAAGTGCTAACACATGCAGAGTACACACTCTGTGTCTAAACGATTCAGTCAGAAAAGTAAAATAAACTGGTTTGGGTAATCTGTCCGGTATGGAGAGCAGTTTCCTTCAAAATGAAATAAATGTAATTAATAAAATATTAATAAATATTCCATCAAAATAAATGTCAATGAAATAAAACAAAATTATAATAAATTTTTAGCATGTTTTTATATTTAAATTTGTTTATTACATTTTTTTTTATTTTGTGACACTTATTTTGTAAAGCAACTTTGCATATTTCAGGGAGTTTTATTTTGAACTCCCTTTTTATTTCATGACATTTTACCATTTCAGGTTGTTTTACTATTTCGTGTCATTTTATTTCATGGTCCAATGTGCAAATGAAGGGGCAGAGTTTTCTCTGTGGGTTGGTATTCAGGAAAATGATGTTTCACGACCAGAGGGGGCCATACTCGCCTGCCTGGCCTTTCTTCATATGAAACGTTCATTTTTTATATAAATAAACACAGACATATGTCCATAAAGTTGAATGACTGTCACTCTGTGATTATAAAGGCTTTGCAGAGGTAATTAAGGTGGCTTTTGGCCAAATAATACTGTTTTATTGAATAACCTGTATTCAGTTCCCAAACACGTTGTTCCATTTCTCTCAGTAAAAGTAAAATAAGACAAATGTTCCTCCATTTGTGTGTTGTAATGCTGTTCTCCCCGTTGGGTGGTGAAACAAATCATTTCCTGAATACCAACCTACAGAGAAAACTGTCCCCTCCTTTGGACCTGAAATAAAATTACATGCAATAGTAAAACAGCCTGAAATTGTGAAACGGCATGAAATAAAAAGAGAGTTCAAAATAAAAGTCCCACAAACTAATTTAAATATAATAAATAAATAAATAAATAATGTTAAATTGTATTTGAAAAAACATAAATACATAAATAATAATATAAAGTATAAAATGTATTATAATTTTATTGATTTTGTTTTATTTCAGTGGGACATTTATTAATTTGATGGAATATTTAATGATACTTGAATTACATTATTTATTTATTTATTTATTTATTTATTTATTTATTACATTTTGAATGAAACGGTTCTTCATAGTGCAGATGGCTAAAGTAAACAATAATAAACTATTACAAAACCCATGCTTCTCAAAACTGCAATGTGCATTGACATTTTCACAACAATTTCACCTGTTTTCTCTGCCGTAATCCGGAAAAAACTGTCACATCAATCAAATTTAATAGCTATGTAGGTTTGTTTTTACTGAACAGCCTTTAAACTGAACCCACAATGCCTTGCGAGCAAACAACAACTACAGTCCAGTTTGAGGCGACCCATGTTCACCGCAAAGTGACGGTTCTCTCTCTTCCTAGTATAGACGATCTTTGAGTCACTCCTTTGGAGCAAAGACCCTCTCTCCTGCTGGATGCTATAGACGATCTTTGAGTGGATCTGTTGGAAACAGTAAAGTCCCTCTCTCCTGCTGGCTGATCTGCTAGAGCTACCAGGACGATACTTTCTGTTTTAAGACTTGACCTCTGCGCCACAAACGGCTTTGTTGCGTTAGTTTTCGTTCGGACAGGGGTACACTGAACCAAAGCGACGTTTATGACTGCAGTCCCGCGGCTTTCAATCGTAGCTTGCTGGCCTGCGAGGCTAGCTGGCTGGCTAGCGGAGCGCTGACGGAGTGGAGCCAGCTGGTCGGACGGAGAAGAAGACTCTGATCCTGGATTACCGACTTTACTCAAACTGAGCGCAAGTCACTCACTGCGGTAATCATGAAGATAACCGTGGACTTCGAGGAATGTCTGAAAGACTCCCCACGGTTCAGGTGAGCGATGACAAATAATTGATTTCTCGCGTTTTTATTTGTTTCTCCGAGAAAAAGTGTCCAGCTAGCTGCTTTTTAACGTTGACCTGCAGGAAGCTAGCTGCTGTTTGCTGCTACTTTTCTATTTTTGTCTCTTAAGAAAGCCTGCTGGTAAACCAAACAAACATAAGCTGTGTAGAGAGCTGCTCTAGTGTTTGTTTTCTGTGTATAAATGATTTAAATAGTGTTAAATATGAATGCAGATAATAACACGTATTTTTATGACTTACCAATTATATCATTATACTCGAACATTAAATGTTTAGCAGCTAATTATTTAATGTTCGCTAGCTAAATTTTAGCTTATGCAGTTTTACTGAGTGCCAGACACCGTGGTTTTTATCTGCAGCAAAAGTCGAATATGACTTTAAAATTTAACATTTGATTTTAATAAAACAAATGTTAAAGTGCTATCAGCAAGTGTTTTTGTAGCTGTTTAAAGATCATGCGATTTTATTGATGGAAGAGCAATCTCAAAGGAACTTATCCTGGACGTATCAAAGGGTGCCGTTTTAAAGCCTCTACACTAGTAGATTTTCCAGATACGTTGTTCCGAAATGCAGGTCTGCACTCGATGTAAACAAAGCACTCCACTTAATAAATCCACGTAGAAGCTCAAATCATGTGATTGACCGACACCAGGCTGGCTATAATTGGTTACATTTGTTTTATTTTCCAGGAAAACGGGTGGAATGTATTTTTTCCCCTCATCTGTTTCAGTTTAGATTGTTTTGGAAACTTATCTCCATATTTTACTCAACAAATCTGGAGTGGAAATAAATTGTCAGACTTCAAATGATTCTTTCAGGGACAGAAAAACACCCATCAATACAAGAAGGGATTTTTTTTGTCACCCTTATGGGTTTGATGTTTTATGACCAGTTTTTGTGACATTACAATTAGGGCTGCCACAAATGATTATTTTTATAATCAATTAATCACCGATTATTTTTTTCAATTAGTCGACTAATCGGATCATACGTTAACTGAATATAAAACATACAGCTTATTGCGCCAGAATGCAGCTGCTATTATATAACCATCGTTAGATTTGAGCTATATGCTAACTAAAAATAATTGCTGTGGAAGGCAAGTTCTGCTCTGCAGATATTGTACAGGTTTCTCTTTCATTTTCTTAAAATGATCCCACACTTTTGAGCTCTGTTGCTGGGTAGCCATGATACCAGAGCCTGTCTGTATTGTGACATCCACGGCCTACCCCAATTACCACTACTGTGCATG